TCATGCACATTGAGTCATGTCATGTCATCACATCGAGTTGAGTCTGCACGCACATGTCAAAACACATTGAGTAGAGTTGATCCAAACATATTGAGTCACACAATGAGTCAAGAACTCCAAGCCTTAGGTTAACCTCAAGATAATTATAAACATGAGCAAAGTCCTATAGTCCAAAATATAAATGCAGGCACCCTAAGTCCTTGACAGACGAGTAACCTTTACAAAAGATTTGAGGCAATTTGATGAGCGGAAAGACGTAATTTTTCCAAGGCGTGAGAAGCTATTACTTCCAAGGCGTGAAGACGAGAAGATTTGAGAAGGCGGCTTGAGGCATAGTGGTCTTCGACAGCGTTCCCTAAGATGTGAAGGTTGTCACCCGATTTGAGCTCGAGGCGTAGCGATCTTGGACGACGTTCCCTAAGATGTGGAGGTTGTCAAACAAAACAACTTTGATTCGACAAAATTGATTGTGTCCTGAGGCGTGGACGATTCACATTGCAAGTTTCTTGAGGCGTAGAGACCTATAATTATCAGATAAGTTTTCTCAAAGACGTAGAAAATTGTCGATCAATGCACACTTCTCAAGGCGTAGAAGTTAGCGATTGTGTTCCAAGGAGTGGGTACTTAGTAGAATTTCACTTGCGAGCTACTCGAGGCGTAGAAGCTCATGATAGGACTCCTAAGGCGTGGAAACTATTAAACTTCCCGAGGCGTGGAAGATCATCATCCAGTGGGTCGCTTGAGGCGTAGTGGTTCACAATAGAATTCCCGAGGCGTGGAAGATCATCATCCAGTGGGTAGCTCGAGCCGTATTGGTTCACGATAGAATTCTCGAGACGTGGAAAATTATCATCCTGTGGATTTCTCGAGGCGTAGAAAACTACCAAACGTGTTTGTTGTCATCACTCCCAGATACGCGTTTCTAACTCCTTTATTTGTGGAACTAACATTTTTCTGCAGGTATCGACGTAAAAAGAATGATTTAGGATCGCAGAACGTTCTGAATCATTCTCCTTCCCTATCGACTTACTTTGACTAGCGTTTTCGAAACTTACGTTTCTCCAAACTCAGTTAAAGTGGGGGCTTCTATAGACACCTGATTGTGTCTCCCTAAAAACCAAACCCAGTGATGAGTACCTTTCACATCTTTAATGATCGAGTTAGGTGAAGAGTTAATGAGTATCGCAAATTTCCCCTTTTCTAACCTTTCTTTAAATGTTTTAAACCAAAATAATTCATTTCGTGTCTTTAAAATAACTCATTTCGTGTCTTTAAAATAATTCATTTTGTGTCCAATTTATAAAAAATCCAAAATAAGTTTATTTTGGTCCATAATCTGGGTCCAATAATTGTGTAGTTGGATAGGGTCTGAAAAGGGATTTCCAACGATATATTATAAGCCCAAATCCAAGTTATAACAAGGAAGTTATGGCCAAAATACTAAAACAAGCCCAAACCAGACCTAGGTCCACTTTACCTACGACCCAATGATCATGTGGAGGCTCCATTAGCCTTAATCCCATTCCTAAGCCAATTAGGATTCATTAGGAGCTTCTTAAAGTCTCTAGTAGGTTCTAATCTATCCTTTTCGAAAGATAAAGATCAAGAGTTTGAAATTGAAAAAAACTCCTCTTTTTGAAAATTCTAATCCCGTTTGAATTGAAAAACGTTCAGACATGATTTTCGTGCCTCACATTTTTAATCCAAATATTAAATGGTTGGATAGACCTTGAAATTATCTTTCCAATGATATATTATAATCCTAATTCCGAGCTATAACGAAAAAGATATGAATGAAATACCAAACTCTATCCAAAACTGACACCCTTCCACTATTTCGGCCATACTTTTATTCTACAAAAGATTTTAATCTGATTCTAATTAGGTTGGAAAGTAGACTTAAGGATATTTCCAACGACATATTATTTATCTTATTATGATTTTGGATAAAAAGATATGATAAAAACAAAAACCGCAAAAAAACTGTTTTGTATCGAATTAATCGCCACGCGATGAAAGGAGTTTTATTCCGATTCGAATTTTGACTCTTTTCTGATCTTTTCGGTCGTTTTTTCTCTATAAATAGAGGACGATTTCCTTTGTTTTCATTCACCAACAATAATCATCTCTTCTCTCTCTAAGCTAAAGCTTATTCTTTCTCTCCCCCTCTTGATTTTATAAGCCTAGCCGAAATACATAAAACATACACCATACGTCCTTTGCGAGACTCTAATACATCTAGCCAAGCTCGAAGTTGTCTTAGACCTCGACATGAAAGGTTGATAGTTTGGTCCCAAATCCATATTTTAATTATTCATTAAATTATTGTTTGATTTAATATTTTATTAAAGTTTACTAACGTGTGTATTCTTTTAATAGAAAGAGGTACGAGGCTTCAAACTGAGTAATTTAATTGCTCTATTTCTTTTAGAAATCATGCTTATATTATTTTATTAATTCCTAGTATCATATTAGGATGTCTTCATGTTTTAGTATCAAGCTAGGCTAAAGCTTTGATCTTTATTTAGTGACATGCTAGGGTTTGTTATTAATCTTGTTAGTATCTTGCCTAGGATCTTGCTAATATTATTCTTTGAGGATTTTATTATGATGATGATTGTTGTGTCAAAATATATACAGTTTTACGTAATTTGTTAATTTATGAATAATTTATATATGATTTGTTAATATGTCTTCTTCTTATATGTTGCTTGATTATTCATTTTTTACTGTTATTGCTTGATCACGCCTTTCTGCATGTTTAAAGGGAATTTGTACTTGAAATCACGCTTAATAAGATAATTAATAATTTGATTTAGGCTAATATGATTTTAATTCAAGTGATCGCCAATCATAGATTTATTTGTGCATTATAATAATCAATTAATATAGAATAAATATGCTTAGGATTAAATTATTGATTGTATGATGATCGGAAAGCGCACATGAATATTATAAGAATAAAGTAGAGGCCTATTTAGGGCGGGTTCAATCTCTTTTAGGTTGGATTCGTACCATCATCCCCGAATATCCAGTCATGGTTCAGGACCACTATAGAGTTAGCTATCTCTGTGATCGTGAACGGAATGTAACCTTCATACCCATGGAAGATTTACAAGTTCCTAAACTTTGTTGGCGACTCTTTTCTTTCCCTTTGGACGCCACCATGCTTAAATGCATGATCACAGTGAGGCTTAAAGTTGATGTTTGAAATATTTCCTACACCAAGGCTTAATAATGGCTAGTTTCCCGAAGAACATATGAGGGCCAGCACTTAAGATAGTGTTCATGTCATCAGAGTTTTGCAAACAAATCAGAAAATATCCATCATCATACCAAAAGATATGGGGCTTAGCTACATTATTCTAATGATCAGATATGAACCTATGAACAGCAGCAATTGTAGGATAATAGCCACCAATATTGAAACTATTGAGTTTTTCCATTTATTATTACCTTCCTCCAACTCTGAGCTTTGTAATTGAGCTATTGATTTACCATCCTTGAGAACAGGGGCTACAAAGAGAGTGAAGTTCCTTTAGCTGTTAACTTGCCTTTGAACAGACCAGCCCATTGGCCAGCCTTCTGAGCTTCAGCAACTTGCTCAGGTAACCCTCTATTAGCTTTAGAAGTGATTGATTCACCTACAATTGCAGAATCAGATCTAGGAATCAATGGAACAGTAACCGGGGAAACCCTAGTTACTGTTCGATTTGTTTCCATAGAAATTGAACCAAAATTAATCCCATGGCAAGCAGCAATAGCCTCAGCATCACTTCTGGGTATCAAACCAATAGCATGATGCACAGTACTAGGAGCTGGTGTAACTAATCCATCCACTTCACTAATAGAAGTCGGGTTGAATGTAGTTCCAGAATTGCGTAATTGTTGTAGAAATGAATCAACAGGAACCAGATTATTCTGTGTATAAGTGTTTTTGGGGAGTGGAGTAGCTTGTTGCTTCTTTTTTGCCATCGGAAAACGATCAAGATGAAGATCAAACCAGCTAGATCAGTTCACCATGGAAAGAAAGAGAAGAGAGAAAAGTTAACGCGGTCAAACCCTAAATAATGCCTATTTTTACAAGTTAATGAGACACATGTTGCTTTATCTTTTGTTGAACTTTTTTTTTTTTTTTTTTTTATGTTTTTTTCAACTTCTCTCCTCCTCCTTCCCCCGTATGAATGGCAATCAACCACCACTACCTTGCATTATCATTTAATGTGTATGGGTTTATGTTTATTTTATATTTAGATGTTGTCTGTCTTGTGTGTTGTATGTAGGCTTAGTTGAAAGCAGTGAGTGCAGAGGGAGGTTGGTCTAGGAAGAAGGTTCCTCAAAAAAAGGGGAAGAAGAAGTTGAAACAAGATCCAGTTTTCGAGGTAGAGGAATTGGAGGACAGAAGTAATGATTATGATGAAGATGGTGGTTCAGAGAACGATGATGGAATTTGTGAATCAGATGAGGTGGAAGATGAAGAGGATGTCGAAGAGGACTCGGGTGAGGATGAGGAAGCTGAAGAAAGTGACGCAGCGAGGCTGCAGGGTCTTTTGTTGAAGGTTCTCGTGGGTACGGTTAATGCAAAGAGGAAAAGGGGAGTTGTAGAGAAAAAAAAGTAAAAAGGGCCAAGGTAAATCTTGTTAGTTAATCGTTGGTAGTTATAATTTAATGGATAATTATTTAAGATGAAATTGTAATTGCTATGTTGTTCATGGAAATGAAATTAATTATGGAAAAAATGCAAGACTGTTCCAGTATAATAATTTTTTTTTTTAAAAGAAGTTTGTCTCAAGTATAGGATTAGGGAATATTAATGAAATCAGTTAAATGCTAGAAACAAGGGTCATTATGATGTATGGGGTTATTATTGATTTCAATTATATTCAATGTAATTGGACTTTTGATGTAGGTCGAGCCCGAGAAGAATAAGGGCCAAAAAGTTATGGAGAAAGGAATTGTCGTGAAGACTCAATCTCGAAATACGAAGAAGGTAAAATGCAGAAGTCCATTATGTTATTGTGTTATGCTGTTGTTGTTGTGTTTGATTTGTTGGACAAAGTATGATGAGGTTGATGATTTCTTGTGACCCTTTTTTTTTGTTGCTTTGTGTCGTGGGGTGGTAGTATTGCTTACTTGCATATCCATTGTTTATTGTTAATGTAGGCTCCCACTTTGAATGATGTGAAGGCTTTTTCTAGTGTTGTGTCCTGGAAAAGTTTGATAAATCGAGGAAGAAAGTGGTGAATGTGATGGGTTTTGGTAGCTTGTTAATGACACCCCTGACTTTTTTCCCTCGTAAATTTGCGTATTGGGTCCTGACTAGAGTTGGTGGGGATGGTTCCTTAATGTTTGGGGATGGTTACGTTTTCCCTCTTAGCCGTGTACAAATACAATGTGTGCTTGGGATCCTGATGGGTACGAGACAAGTCCATTCAAAAGTTCCTGAGGATGGTGATGTGAAGCTTGAGGTACAGCGTATCAAGGATTGTTTTCAACAGGGGACAACATCTCATTGAGTCTAGCTTCGACTGCCCTGTTTCGGTGGGGAGGCAACAATGAATTGATGCCTTTAACATCTGAATCTGACATAGCACATTTCAGGTTAGCTTTTGTGATAGTTCTTCTTGGATACTTGTTGTGTCCAACTACAAATACAAGCAAATTGGCAGCCTCATTAACTCCGGCATTAACAGTGTGTGGAAAGACCGCGGAGTATGACTGGTGCACTTTGACATTTGATTGCCTTTGCCAGGCAGCAAAGAAGTTTTAGAAAAAATTCACAGAGACAGGATATGTTGCTGGGTCTAGAGGGTGCCTGCTGTTTCTTCTGGTAAGAGTCCTTGCATTTTAAATAAATAGTATCCTAAAAATTAAGTGATATGAAGTTGTTTGATGTTGAAGTTGTTTTATATTAATTAAGTGTTTACATTTTCTCATCTGAATGTTATATTTTTTGTTTGATGTTGAAGTTGTTTTATATTAATCATCTGAGCCGCGTACCCGTGTAATGGGGAGTGCTTCCTAGGATAAAGGTTTGGACATAAAAAAAAATAAGTGAAGTCTGAACTGAAGACAAATTTAAGAAAGGTGACTTTGGTCGTTCGAAGGTTAGTATAGTTTTGGAATCGTAGTTCATTAGTATTCCATTATTACACTTATTCAAAAACAAATATGCTCATAAGTAAATTTTTTTGTTTTATAGTCTATGAATGTAGCTTACGGGGAGTCGCATCCCTTGGCATGTCGCGATTCGTCCAAGTCTGGTGTTGATTTTGATGTTAATAAGATATCAAAACAGGTCCAAAGATGACTTTATTAGTAACTTAGTTGTATATTCATTGCTTAATATATGTTGTTGATGATGTATTAATATTTGTTTTGTAGGTAATGAAGAGGGTTGTTCCTCAGTTGATCTCTGCTGTTGACAAAAAAGTCGGAGCTGTGTTTGAGAAAATGAATGAGTTGTTAGGAACAGCCATGGCAGCAACAACAGCAAGTGGGTTTGGCAAACATATATTTGTTAATGAAAAAGAAACGAAAAGGAAGCATGTGTAGGTTTTGCGGCTACCATGAAAAATGTTGAAGTGGAAATCGAACGTGTAATAGGGACTGATGTTGGTAAGATGGTATTGGAAAGTTGTGACATTGAAGGTTAGAGTTTATGAGCCAGCTGTTTCTGCCAATGTGAGTCAGTTTGTGAGTGACAAAGGCTAGGAAGGGCCTTTAGCTGGAAGAGTTGGTTGTGAAGTAGCAGGTGGCCAAGGTTTGCTTCGCAGCGATGGGAAAGATGAGGTTGTTGATGTTGACCAGGACAACAAGGGACAGGGACAGGAAAGCCCTGACCAAGACAACAACAAGGGAAAGGAAAGCCCTGACCAGGGCAGCACCAAGGCACATGCCACTGCTGCCGTGCCATAGACAACAACAACAACGGACATGCTAATTTCATTGACAGTACCCTTGAGGAGAAAGTTGAGGATAGGAGGGTTGTTATGGGATTGGTTGGTACTACAGGGACCAATTTGGAGAGGGATGGTGGTGTAGGCGACAGAGATAGTTCATCAGAATCTGATGGTAAGAAGTCATGGATGGATAAGAACGACGGCACGACCTGTAAGCGAAAGCGGGTTGTGAAACCCACTGAAGCTGGAATTTTAGAGATGTGTGCGAAGTCATCCAAAACTCAAAGGCACACCCCATTCGAGACTCGGTTGTTGTTGTTTGTACGTGTGTGGAAAGATTACAACAATCCCTTACGGTGAGCCCATTTTTACATCCCACATTTGTATGACGTAATCCTTTTTCATTTTAATGTTTTTCTTCTTGAGTGCTGGCATTCATAACATGTATCCTTTGTGAGGTGTTCATTCGTTGTGAGAACATTGTTGCTAATCAGAAGGATTGCTTTGGCATTCTTCACCTAAGAGCTCGGGTAGGAGATGGTTATGTAAGGATGGCCAGTGTTATGTACACTAAGCATTGGGCCACAAAGCAATTTTTAACAGAAGCAAGCGTATTATGCTCGACCCCAGCTTCGCTGTGAGTAACCTCTTGATCCAAAATTTGTTTTTTTTTAATATATGATTCGAATTTAAAAGTTTAAATTTATTTGGGTAATTTGTTTGTTGTAGAATCGGATTATGTTGAATGAAGGGAAAGATGAACATGTAGCTAAGAAGTATGGGAAGGTTTTCTTAAGTTATAAACTGTGCAACATTCGAACCGTAAGTATTCTGTGCAGTTACCTCTGTGTGAGTAGTATACTCATTGTTACTAATTTGATTCTATTGGCCCGTTGTTTCATTGCTTTAGTGTAGGTTTTCATTCCAGTATTAGAAGTTCCCCCTAAATCTCTAGATGATTCGCACTGGTGGTGCCTAGCTCTAGAGTTGAAGGGAAAACTGTTTAGATTATAGATTCCATCTACACCGACCCTTATACTCACATGAGAAGATTAATGAGCTTCTGGTTTGCTTTAGAACTCATTATCTGTTTTGAAGTTTATTTTAAAACTTTTTTACATTTGATTCGAATTTGCGAACTTTGTAGTTATATAGACATTGCTTCTCATTAATAGCGTTTCTTGGGTGCTGAATGATAATCAGATGAGGGTTGTTGACATGTTGTTTAGCTTGAGTGATTCTACCTGGAAGTGTGGTGAGATAAAGCATTGGCCAAGGTCCACCATTGAGGTCGAGGAGCCTTCTAACTCGTGAGTGAATCTGCTTTATTACCAATCCATATTATTGGCCATTCATTTTCTGTTATTTGTTATACATGGTTGGCTAAAATTGGTCGCTTGCAAACCAGGGAATACTGTGGGGTTTACATGTGGGCTTGCATCAAGTACTGTGCTAGAAGATTTACAACAAAGTTTGGTGTGATGAATGACTAGGTTATGAGTTCAATGAGTAGTTATTTGATAGGCGTCCTTCTTGTTGCTAACCATTTATTATCTTTGCGGCAGGGGAATATATGTCAGGCAAGGGCTAACCTTTTTTTAGATGATGTTCAATCAGAAAAGAATGAATTGAAAGACCAGCTAGAAGGCGTGCTGCCTATTTCAAGAAAAACGGAACACACTCACTAATATTGGTTTAGTTTTTCTGGGGAGCTTGTCATTTTGTGGTTGTGGTAGTGTTAAACTGTTTGCCTTCAACTTAGGTTAGTTGAAGTTAACTCATGCACAAGTAACTACATAGCAAGTTGTTCTCTTTTGGGTTTGTTTTCTTGTAGGATGAAGTTAACTTCAGGTGGTATTCTCTTTTGCCCTTTTTGTAAATGGTACATCAATCTGAACTAAATTCTGTCTTTTTCTGTTTAATGGTTCATCCATTTGTACTAAATTTAACCGATACTGGTAAATGGAACTTTCAGCTGTAATGAGTTGTACCGTTTTCTTGTAATGGTACTTTCAGCTGTAGTGAATGGTACCATTTTCCCTTAATGGTACATCGAATTGTACCATTTTTTCAAATAATATTTGTTCTATCTAATATAACCTATACTCAAAATGTATTTAGTCACATAAATCTGAAAACCATTTAGTGGCAAGGTTAATATAATGCAGTACAAAGTTTCATATTACATACTTGTAGTTGAATAATACTTAACTAAACAACGATTACGATGCTAAGCATAATCAAAGTAGAGTTTGAGATAAGCAAATCTGAAATCCATTAAGGATGAAATACAACACACAAAATACGGTAATAGTAATTGAAACTGAGCTCCAGGATGCCTGTTTCAAAGGTCCTTTCCCATATCCAAACGATGGACTGATTCGTCAAACGCCAATCCGGAGTACGCGTAGAAACTGTTGAGATCTAGCTCCTCGTCTGAGCTGAAGGGATCGTTGTTTAGTTGAACATGTGGGGGTAACCTGCTTCCTAGTGGTCCCTGCATTTTGAAAATTTTTTGCCTTATCTTAAACGGTCTACACTTTAAACTTGATTCAAGATTATTTGACTGATTGTTATATAATTAGTAGTTTTAATTAAATACTATACAAGAGGGTTGCACACAAACCTGGAACACCGCATTGACAATCATCCCGTTTGGCACATTAGATCTGTAGTTGAATCGGGCCAGCAGAGAGTGTGGCTTCCAAAACAGCAAGACTCCTCCAGCCTTCCATCAGAACCAAAATGCTCTACATTGTATGCACCCGGGAGATCACGCAGAACCCAATTCTTTGCATAGTGTTGACCAGTACGTGCTTCCAATACGATGAGCAACACTAGGTTAAATTTGTGATCAAGCATAGTAAAGTGCTCTTGAAATGAGAGCCTTGTGCATCCTCTGGCGTTCCAACAAATTACCTTGGACCCACGATCGACAATAGGGCCTGTTCCCAAATGCTCTCCTCTATAACTGACTTGATGATAGCGTTTACGAATGAGAAGGTTATGCACGAGCTTCGGCTTTAGTGTGCATCCCTCAACTTGGAGCCTGATGTGGGTTATATCACTATCCACCTTCATGATGTGTAGGGTATCCGTATAGGAACCAACGAAAATGTGGCTGATTTTCAAGGGGAAAGTGTAGCATGGAACCAAATTGGTGTCTAGTGAGGGCTTCAAGTTAAGTGCCTCTACCAATACAGTTGGAACTACTAGTGGGGAAGTAGAGGAATAGAACAAGCTTATCAACCAATATAACATTACACAAGCACCTTCATTGTAGCAACTAATCAAGTCCTCTAACAGAGGAAGATGTGCCAATGCAGGGCTTCCGTCTTCCAAAACTATGAAATCAGTTGGGCAACACATGAGCTGAAGAATATTTGCTCTAAAAGTTTTGACTGGGTGGAACATATCATTCATGAGTTTCTCAATGGTGTAGCAATACTTAACTAAATTGATGTTAATTTCGTTGGTATCTCTTGCAATCTATTGGAAGTACATCAATGGTTCATCGGGGTGTAATACAATACGATGGTTATACGGATGAGGATGGGGAATCTAGTGGTTCACTAACAGTCGATGTAAGGTTATCCATTTTTGCAGGTGATGGAACGATGAACGGCAGGACAAGAGTTTAGGTTTGAGGATGAAGGAGGAGGTGGATGAGGGAGGGTTTGCAGTTAAGCGAGTGACAATTGAGATGAGTTTAAATTGTTATTTTGTCCAAGGTTCAGACTACCCTGAAATTCAAATTAACTAAATTGCAACTAAACCTTAGCATAAAAACAGAGCGTAATCCGGTTAAATGGTGGACATCCTTTATGTTTTGGTACTAAGTCGTACAAATTTGTACCATTACATTGATGACCCCAAAAAACCAAAGTCACGTGATTTAAAAAAATAATTAATCAAATTTACTTAACAAGACTAAAAGTCTATGGGCCATAGACTTGAAAACTGAAGGAGTATATATAGTTTGCAACTTCATTAAAATTCGGAGAAGTCAACTTTGGAAATCCCAAAACAAACAAACACAACATACTACCATTTAGCTAATAATTTGTACCATTTTCAAGCTATTATGTCCTGCTACACAAAGGCCCATCTCATACAATCAATAATAAAGTTTCAACATACTACCATTTAACCAATAATTTGTACCATTTTCAAGCTATTATCACTACAAAAATAATGAGAATAGGCAACACTAAAACAACTATTACCCTAGGTAACCTAAGGCAACAATTTTTAAATGTTACCATAAGCCAAAATAATAATACTAGATCATTGTGAAACAATTAAAAAAGTGTTGTTATAGACCATTAAAGACAACAATCAGCTAAAATGTTGCTTTTCTCTTGCCTAAGGCACCATTTTTAGGAAATGTTGTAAGAAAAGATAAAAACAACATAATTTTTAGTTTTATGTTGATCATCTATGACATCAATTCATTGAATATACAACATTAGCGATGTGTTGCTTACTATATGATGTTTTATCTAATTAAATGCTTTTATAAAAAATTATGGGTTTACTCTGTTATTTTTCTTACGTAACTTATAAATAATATGTATTTTTCAGGTAACTTAAAATGCAAATGAAGAAAAAATTATATTTTTGTTTCACTTTTTTTTTTTTTGGAAGAGAAAAATTGAATTCTAGTTTCACTTAGAAAATAAAGATAAGTGAAAATTGGATGAATAAAATGTACCTTAGATCATTTTGATCCAAAAAAATGGCAGAATAAATACTATAGAGGTGTTAAAAAAATAATTAGGTCGTGCCAGGATTAAGTATAAAAGTATGTGCCCAAACCTACAAAATGAAGTTGGGCTTGTAGGGATATTTTTGGGCTGAGACCGAGGTTTGGTGGATCTAAAATTACGTTTTTCGGATCGGCTAATGGACTAGGGTATTGTTGATCACCCGTAGAATATGAAAAAACCTTATATACTCGAGTGTAAGGTGCATCCAAAACTATTTTACTGATTAGAAAACTTAGCTTATTTTTACAACTATTCTATTATATTTGTTTTTTTATTTTTATTCCATTAAAATTATTTCTAATACTCTATTGTCATGTATTTATTAAAATATTAATCTCTTGGTTGATGTTGCATGACTTTTTTAATTGTGAATCAATCTTTATTAAAATGAATCAATTTATTTGAGTCTCCCCAAGTGTACACATGCCGCAAATAGTCATTTATCACTCCCTCCGTATTTGAATAAGTAAAACATTTTGACTTTTTGCACTATTCATCTAATTCACTTTGAATAATTTTTATGCTTTATGCATTTGAATAAATAATTAAATATAGTCTTGTGGGTACTTTTAGAAATCATATCAATGAATAGTTTGTTAATATTCAATTGTCACTAGTAAGAATATACAAATATGCACCGACAAATGGACACCGATATTCAAAAATCGGTGCCTAAAACATAAGTCTAGACCCAAAAAAATAAAAAATCATCTTAAAGTAAATTAAAGGCACCGGTTAACCGGTGACCTTAATCCTAAAAAATTAAATAACTCACGTCACTCTTCTCTCTCTTTAACCCTCTTTCCCTTTATCTCTAATCTCTCTCTCTCTCTCTATCTCTCACTCTCTCTCTCTTTCATTTGCCCCTTTAATCGCCGCCGATCCGCCACCGTCGCCCGCCACTCTATCTCTTGTACTCCACTTCTCATTCTTTCTCTTTGCTCGTGCCATTAAATGTCAATTTCACAGTCAAACAAACAATCAATGAACTGACAATCAATGGTCCACATTTTCCCACTATTCGTTTCACACGTGATTTGCTCGTGGTCCACAATGAATCGAAGTGCTGGTTATTCATCATCTTCAAGAGGCTTGTTGATTCTTCTCCTTTTTTTCATACCCCTATACTACCTTTTTTTTTTCCTTTTTTTATTTAGGGATTTCTTACTTTTGAAGATTGATTTTTGTTTTAGGGTTATATTTGTTTCTAGATATTTTCTCTGCATAATTTGGTAGGATATTGACAATATCAGTTCATTGCTTGTTTGTTTGACTGTGAAATTGACATTTAATTGCTAAATTGGGTGTTCTAAAATTCAGTGGTGGCCTGGTGGGTGTTTGATGATTTAGGGTTCTTTTTTTTTATGAAATTATTGATGGGTGTACGTGTTTATTTTCTTGATTTTTTCTGGTGTGTACTGATAATTCAGAACTATGTTGGTGAAATCTTCTCTGTTGTGCTGAAATTCTACTAATTTTTGTTTGTTGATGGTTGGTTTCCTTTAAATATGGAGTTGGAATGGTTTATAGTTGTAGCAAAGTTTCTGCTTATAGGATTGTATTTTGTCTACCCAATTTTAGGGTTGGGTAGGTTTAGTTTAAGAATGTTAGTGATTTGGGAGTTGCACTTAGTTGTTTGATTGCATTATAATCAATTGTATTTAGGGGTTGTTTGGTTGAGGTTTATAATCAAAGGGAAAGGGAAAGGAATGAACATGCCTCATTCCCTTTGTTGCTATTTGTTTGTCAATTTTCACATTTTCTTTACCCATTTTTATTTTTGAGTTTACTCGAAATCAGTCTACATTGATTCCCCATTCCCCCTAGACTTTTCCATTCCCTTTCCTATGCCACTTTTACACCACCATACCCACAACAGCAATTAGTTACCCCCACCGCCCAGCCACCTCGCCGGAACTCGCAACACCTTCCCCACCCCTCCGAAATTCGCCGCACCTTCCCCACTCCTCGCCGGAACTTGTCGCATCTCCATCTCTCCTCACCGAAACCCACTTTTCACCATTGGGTCAATCTCTCTCCTCCCATTTTTCCGTTTCGACCCATTTTCTCCGTCTTCCCCCCGATTCTTATGGCGTTTTTTTCAAAACCCTAGCGCCTAGGGGAAGGGATGGCCGCAATTTTAAGGGGAGGAGATCATTT